CGATGACGGACAGCCGCCGGGCTGTCAAATCCTGGGGAGTCGCGAGCCCCGAGTTTGTTGTTTTCTTTTTTTCCCCTCCCCACAACGTCACAGTCCGAGCTGCAGAGAGAAAGGACAGCGGCAGGAAGGCGAAGCCCCGGCTCCCGCACGCAGTTGGGAAACTCGCGGGTCCTCGAAGTCGCCTCCCCGCCTCGCCGGCCGCCCTTGCAGCCCCGAGCCGAGCAGCAAAGTGAGACATTGTGCGCCTGCCAGATCCGCCGGCCGCGGCCCGGGACTGCCTCGGAAACACAGAGGGGTCTTCTCTCGCCCTGCATATAATTAGCCTGCACACAAAGGGAGCAGCTGAATGGAGGTTGTCACTCTCTGGAAAAGGGTGGGTAAGACACTTTTTAATTAAATTCTTTCCCGAAGATTTTTTTTCCTCCCTTTCTTTGCTGCAGCATCTAACATGGACCAAATCACCATCTCTTTGATCTTTCCGTGGCTGTGAACTTTCTAGCTGCTCAGCTTTCTGCATGCTTAGAGGTGAACGTGTGGCTTTGGGGAGGGGGGTCCTTCCTTCTTGCAATGTATTTATTTGATTTTTGCCCTTTTCTCCCCCTCCCCCGCTCCCCCTCCCTCGGAATAAAATATGATGTAGATTTCTGACCGAGCGCTTCCAATGGACATTCTCCAGCCTCTCTGGAAAGATTCTCGCTAATGGATTTCCTGCTGCTCGGTCTCTGTCTACACTGGCTGCTGAGGACGCCCTCGGGGGTGGTCTTGTGTTTGCTGGGGGCCTGCTTTCAGATGCTGCCCGCCGCCCCCAGCGGGTGCCCGCAGCTGTGCCGGTGCGAGGGGCGGCTGCTGTACTGCGAGGCGCTCAACCTCACCGAGGCGCCGCACAACCTGTCGGGCCTGCTGGGCCTGTCCCTGCGCCACAACCGCCTCCCGGAGCTGCGCGCCGGCCAGTTCACGGGGTTAATGCAGCTCACGTGGCTCTATCTGGACCACAACCACATCTGCTCGGTGCAGGGGGACGCCTTTCAGAAACTGCGCCGGGTTAAGGAGCTCACCCTGAGTTCCAACCAGATCACCCAGCTGGCCAACACCACCTTCCGGCCCATGCCCAACCTGCGCAGCGTGGACCTCTCCTACAACAAGCTGCAGGCGCTGGCGCCCGACCTCTTCCACGGGCTGCGGAAGCTCACCGCGCTGCACATGCGGGCCAACGCCATCCAGTTCGTGCCCGTGCGCATCTTCCAGGACTGCCGCAGCCTCAAGTTTCTCGACATCGGATACAATCAGCTCAAGAGCCTGGCGCGCAACTCCTTCGCCGGCTTGTTCAAGCTCACCGAGCTGCACCTGGAGCACAACGACTTGGTGAAGGTGAACTTCGCGCACTTCCCGCGCCTCGTCTCCCTGCACTCGCTCTGCCTGCGGCGGAACAAGGTGGCCATCGTGGTCAGCTCGCTGGACTGGGTGTGGAACCTGGAGAAAATGGACCTGTCGGGCAACGAGATCGAGTACATGGAGCCCCACGTGTTCGAGACCGTGCCGCACCTGCAGTCCCTGCAGCTGGACTCCAACCGCCTCACCTACATCGAGCCCCGCATCCTCAACTCCTGGAAGTCGCTGGCGAGCATCACCCTGGCCGGGAACCTGTGGGACTGTGGGCGCAACGTGTGCGCCCTGGCCTCGTGGCTCAGCAACTTCCAGGGGCGCTACGATGGCAACTTGCAGTGCGCCAGCCCCGAGTACGCGCAGGGCGAGGACGTCCTGGACGCCG